CTGGCATCTCGGCTTCAGTCATTTTCCTACCGACGTAAGGTTGCCTCTCTGTGCCGTTTCTGTAAATAATTTCATGGTAACTCTTTCAGATAAACTCTTCACTATGGTATCTCATCTTTATGAGGTGCAATACTAGATTAGAACAAGGGCTCATCAATTTACAGTTGAATTGGATAGATGTAACCGTAAGTTGTTTTTTTTTTTTTATCTTGCACTTCTCGCTCAGCGGCTCAGATTGAGGAATTGGAGAGCCGAGTTCGAATTACAGTCGAATCCATTACATTAACTTACGTGCTAATAAAATTGGGAAAGGTATGAATCTTATTCTCCCCACTCCCCCAGGACAAGTTCTGTAGCCTTGGATAGCAACTAGTCTACCGCAGAAAGAAATCGAAACTTACTGCGGGGAAAAAATCTGCCTCGTCAGTCATGTATCGAAAGATACATGATCGCCTAAGCGTATATCACGCATAGCACATAACTAACTGACTGACTGATTTTATATTTTAAGAAACTATTTTTTTTTTACTTATTTATACGAGTTTCGTCTCGGGAAACAGCTACCCGACCCTGTTTTATTCGGGGTATACGAGGAATTTTTGACCGAGCCTACGGGCCCGGATACCCCACATTAAATTCGGCTTTGTGTTCACATCTGACCGCGTGGGGCGGTTGGTAGATATCCTGCAGTTGGAGATTCATCTCCGCCTGTGCTGGCCGAAATTTGTATCGAACGAAACCACTTCCCAAAATTTGAACAAACGTAAAATTAATTTTTTTTGAAAAAATATCACTATGTCTTTTCAAGAGAAAAACCAATCTCTAAACGTTTTTTTTTTTTTTTTTTTGCATATTGGAAGGAATGAGCTAGGATTTGAACTTAGTTTCCTTTGATGAAAAAAGCCAAATGTCTAGTATGTACCGTAGAGCATAATATTACTCGTTCGTCGTTCCACAAAAGAAAAGGGAATCACTTCAACTGAATCACGTTCCATATAGTCGCTCTCAAATATTGCCGGCCATTGAAAGAAGAGAGAAAAAAAACAGAGAAAAAACTCTTTACATCCGGAGATAATAAATCATGAAGCTGGTATTCTCGAACATTACCAGTTATTAAAACAAGAAACTCATTTTTCATTTGCTTTATAATTTAAGTCGTCTGTTATGACTGCTGAAGTGGCTATATGCAAAACACATAGAAATCAGAAGCCGAAGCAAATGGTCAGAAATTGATACAAATATTGCTGCGAGAAAGAATGAGAATATATATATATATATATATATATATATTGAATATTGAAGTCAACACTCAGAAGGCGACAGGCTGTTTCATGCTAGACGCAATCGTCAGTCCACCTGACGATTGCGACTAGAAACAACTGTCACCTCTGAGTTTTGACTTCAATATTCACTATATTTATATTTACATACGCTTTCTATTTCTGATATTGAGCACTTCATCCCATAAATATAGCACACCTTAAAACTATATTTCTTCATATATATATATATATATATATAAAAAAAATATATCTATCTATCTATCTATCTATATATGAAGAAATATATATATATATATATATATATATATATATATATATATATATGAAAAATATATATCTGTATCTATCTATATATATATATATATATATATATATATATATATATATATATATATATATATATAAATATATATATCTATCTATCTATCTATCTATCTATATATATATATATATATGTAGGTAGATAGATAGATCGATAGATGTTGTAGCATACCTACGGACGATAATGGGTATTTCTCCATTCACATAAATACAGTAGTAAATACTATATGTTAGTCTGTGTTTTGAAATTCGTCTCTAGCCGTGCTGGTCAAAAAGGCAGAGAGGATCCCTAGATGAGGTTATGCCGGAGGCCATTGTCTCGTCTCGGGAAACAGCTACCCGACCCCGTTTTATACGGGATCCACGGGGAATTTTTGGCCAAGACTACGGGCTCGGATACCCCACATGAAATTCGGCCTTGTGTCACATCTGACCGCGTGAGGCGGTTGGTAGATATCCTGCAGTTGAAGATTCGTCCCCAGCTATGCTGGTCATACTCTCTGACTCCGAGCACAGAGAATCCCCAGACGAAGATATGTCGAAGGGCAGAGTTTTTTCTCAGGAAACAGCTACCCGACCCTGTTTTATACTGGGTCTACGTGGAATTTTTGGCCGAGCCTACGAGCTCGGATACCCCACATTGAATTCGGCCTTGTATCACATCTGACCGTGTGGAGCGGTTGGTAGATATCCTGCAATTGGAGAATCATTGTGGAATTCAGTTGACTCACTTCTAGCAGTTGACTACTACTTCTACGCGCCGCTGGCGAATCTTATATGTGTTGTTCTTGTCCTAAGTATTATTGTTCATTACCAGCTTTTGTTTGATTATTCTCATCAGTAACCTTCTCTAAGTTACAAGATATATACAGGGTGTATCAAAAATACTTTTACAAACTTTAATGGCAGGTTACTGACACCAAAACAAGGTAAAATACGCCCAGAAGGCTCTCGTTGTACCTCAATACAACAACTCAATAAAAAATTAAAGGGCAGGATTCAAATAGAGTGTCGTCGATCGACATAACATTTAAATTTTTGGTAAACTAAGTTGACCGGGAAAACGTCGTAAGAGAATTTCACATACGATAAGTGCGAGAGAAGAAACTATTAGCAAGGCACTTACGGTTACATCCAGCCATTTCAACTGTAAAATGATGAGACCTAACTGCCAATCTAGTACTGGGCTTAAATTTGCAAAGTCGAGGTACCAAAGTGGAAAGCTCATCAGAACGATTGCCATGAAAATATTATATGCATGATATAAATGCGCTGGTCATGATTTTATTATAGATAATTATTATAAATGATTTTATGAGAGAGAAGTACTTCTAAGCGGAATGCCTGGACGAAAATGGCCTTCAGTGCACAAGAATTGATATACGATGTTCTATCAGGCTTCGGCTATTAAAAGAAGACCGTCTATAATTCCGTGATCTTTTGCCTGGTTATGCAGTAAATTTGCACTGGAATTTTTATTCTATTATTAGGTTGGTGCAAAATAATGACGTAATAATGTCGTTTTTGACGTTAAAAATACGTCAAAAACGGCGATATTACGTCATCATTTTTGCACCAACTAATATTTAATTTTTGGTGTATGAATAACATGGCAGATTTTTATTCAGAATAATATTGCCGTTGTCGCTGTAGTTACCGTTGTCGTCTTCGATGTCGTTGTCATCGCTGTCTTCGTTGTCGCTGTCATTGTCAACGTCGTTATTGTATTCGATGTCGTCGTTGTCACCGTCATCTTCGTTGTCATCGTCGTTTTCGATGTCGTTGTCATTGTCGTCGTCCTCTTCATTGTTGTTGTGTTTTTTGTTGCCGTTTTCGATGACGTCATTGTCGTCGTTGTGTCATCATTGTTGTTGTCTTCGTTGTAGTTGTCATCGCCATTGTTGTTTGCATTGTCCTCGTCCTCCTCAATTTTGTTGTCTTTTTCGTTGTCATTGTCGACGTCGTCGTCTTCTTTTTGTCATTGTTGTTGCCGTCGTCGACTTCGTTGTCGTTTTCGACGTCGTCGTTGTCTTCATTGTCATTGTTGTTGTCATCATTGTCATTGTCATGATCGTTTTCGATGTCGTTGTCGTTGTCGTCGTCGTCCTCTTCATTGTCGTCGTCGTCATCGTTGTCGTTTCATCGTCGTTGTCGTTTTCGACGTCGTCGTTGTCGTTTCATCGTCGTTGTCGTTTTCGACGTCGTCGTTGTCATTTCATCGTCGTTGTCGTTTTCGACGTTGTCGTTGTCTTCATTGTCATTGTTGTTGTCGTCTTCGATGTCGTCGTCGTCGTCTTCGTTGTCGTTTCATCGTCGTTGTCGTTTCCAATGTCGTTGTCATTGTCGTCCTTGTCACCCTACTCATCATCATCGACGTCGTAACTTGGCAGTACTCGGCCGATTCCAATAAATATTTAAAGTCGAAAGAAAGTTCTTCTATGAGCCGTGACTCTTCAGGACGTAGGCGATCACGGTTCTCCACAATCTCCTGTCCTTCGTAGCTCTTAATAAATTTTGTCTTTTTGTTATCTCCCTTAAACTTTATTCCGCTAACCATTTACTGAAGCTCGCTAATTCCTCTTGTCCCTCTCGCCTTCAATCTGTCCTGTGAGTGTCATATTTCCCAAGCCGTCTTTCCTCATTATATACCCTAGAGATTTCAACTGTCTATTCCTGATGCTAAATGCTAAGAGTCCTTTTAGTTTCCATCTAAAGACCTCGTCGTTGCTCGCAACTTTGGTTCATCCTGTGCTCAGAATCCTTAAAATTATTGATTGAGTAACACACACACAATCACAGAAAATTCCAAAAAGAAACAAGGATAAAAATTAACAGGAATTTTGTGCGAAATGAATGCAAGGGTGACAAAAGGAATGGCTATGAGTTCAGCTTCATATTTCACATCGCTAAGGGCGGGAAACTTTAAATCGCAGACACATTTCCAGAAAACTCTCGCTCTCTTTATTCATTTCTTTTATTTACTTGTTTATTTTAGCAACTCTTTCCTGAGAGATCTGAAGGCAGAAATTCCTTTGGCTGTACACGTCGGAAGGATTCAGAAGCAATTAGATTGAAAAGCGATAATGCTTTGATCCTTGTACGAAATGGAAAATGCTTATGTATGTCTGCAAAATATGCCATTCGGGTGTTTGATTACCTATATATGTAGGTAAGCATGTAAGAGACGTACTTTTTGTGATCTATATCCCTGTAGAACGCCGTCTTGTGAGAAAGTTCTTTCTTTTAGTATTTTAAAAGACTCATAGACATGTAAAAATATATCTAAATCTATATGCGAGTTTAATGTGCTTATATGTATAATGCACATACACACACACGCATCTACATATTTTGTCTACATAGATTATGTGTGTATGTGTATAAACGTCCCTCTAGTGGGTCTCTGTATTTCTCTGTCTCTCTCTCTTTCTCCCTATCTATCTATCTATCTTTCTATCTATCTCTATCTATCCATCTATCTCTCTATCTATCCATCTATCTATCTATCTATCTATCTATCTCTTTCTCTCTCTGAAACTACATTATTTCTTTTTTTTTTATTCTCTATTTTTTTACATTCTATTTTTCTTTTTGTTCACATTCTTTATTCTTTTTTTTCTATTCTTTTATTCTTATTCTTCACAACTTATTCTTCTCAACTTCTTTTTTCTTCACAATTTATTCTTTTATTCCTTATGATTTATTCTTATATTCTTCACAACTTATTCTTTTATTCTCCACAATTTATTCTTTTATTCTTCACAACTTATTCTTTTATTCTTCCAAATCTATTCTTTTTATTCTTATTTCTATTCTTTTATTCTTCAAATCTATTCTTTTATTTTCAAAATTATTCTTTTATTCTTTCTTTCTTTCTTTTTATTCTTCAAAATTTTTCTTTTTTATTCTTCCAAATCTATTCTTTTTATTCTTTTTAATCTATTCTTTTTATTTTCAAAATCTATTCTTTTATTCTTTCTTTCTATTCTTTTATTCTTCAAAATCTATTCTTTTTATTCTTCCAAATCTATTCTTTTTATTCTTCCAAATCTATTCTTTTTATTTTCTTCCAAATCTATTCTTTTATTCTTTTAAATCTATTCTTTTTTTCTTTCAAATCTTTCTTTTTATTCTTTAAATCTATTCTTTATTCTTCCAAATCTATTCTTTTAATTTATTATTCTTTTTCTTCTTCAAATCTATTCTTTTATTCTTCCAAATCTATTCTTTTTTTCTTTCTTTCTATTCTTTTTATTCTTCAAAATCTATTCTTTTTATTCTTCCAAATCTATTCTTTTTATTCTTCCAAATCTATTCTTTTTATTCTTCAAAATCTATTCTTTTTATTCTTCAAAATCTATTCTTTTTATTCTTCAAAATCTATTCTTTTTATTCTTCAAAATCTATTCTTTTTATTCTTCCAAATCTATTCTTTTTATTCTTCAAAATCTATTCTTTTTATTCTTCTTTCTATTCTTTTTTTCTTTCCAAATTATTCTTTTATTCTTTAAATCTATTCTTTTTTATTCTTCAAAATATTCTTTTTTATTCTTTCCAAATCTATTCTTTTTATTCTTTCTATTCTTTTTATTCTTTGGAAATCTATTCTTTTTATTTTCAAAATTATTCTTTTTATTCTTCAAAATCTGTTCTTTTTATTCTTTTAAAATCTTTCTTTTCTTTTATTCTTCAAAATCTATTCTTTTATTCTTCAAATCTATTCTTTTATTCTTCAAATCTATTCTTTTTATTCTTCATTCTTTTTAAAAATTATTCTTTTTTATTCTTTCTATTCTTTTATTCTTTCAAATCTATTCTTTTTTTCTTTCAAATTCTTTTATTCTTCCAAATTTTCTTTTATTCTTCCAAATCTGTCTATTCTTTTTGATTCTTCAAAATCTTTCTTTTATTCTTCAAAATCTATTCTTTTTTATTCTTTAAAATCTTTCTTTTTATTCTTCCAAATCTATTCTTTTTATTCTTCAAAATCTATTCTTTTTATTCTTCAAAATCTATTCTTTTTATTCTTCAAAATCTATTCTTTTTATTCTTCAAAATCTATTCTTTTTATTCTTCACAATTTATTCTCTTAATCCTCACAACTTATTTTTTTTCTTCACAGTTTATTCTTTTATTCTTCACAACTTTTTTCTTCACAAATTATTTTTTCATTCTTTAAAATTTTTTCTTTTATTCTTCACAGTTTATATTTTATTCCTCATTTTTTTGTTCTTTTATTCAGGAAAATTTTTCTTTATTTTTATTAAACAATTTTTGTGTTTTTTGCGAATCCTTACTTTTGAAACTTTCATTATTTTCGTTCTTTTTCAGGGATTTTTATTTTTTGTTTTCTGTTTGAGCAAGAGATGGAGCGAGAGAGAGAGAGAGAGAGAGAGAGAGAGAGAGAGAGAGTAGGAAGGGGATCATTGAAAATGTACCGTCTTATTTTTTTCTATCCAACTCTATACGTTTGACTTACATTTCTTCAAACATCAGAACCCAGGAATTCCGATTTTGCTATCAGAAATCCCTACAATTTTCGGTAACGATAAGCAAGTAACCTTGTATATTAGCGTTGCACCATTTTTTCCCTCTGTGTGTGTATGCGTATATATATGAAAACAAATAATGTATGTGCGTAAGTTCACATCACACCCTATCTTGTAAACGAGTGAGACTATACAGAGTTTAAAAAATCAATTTGTTTTCATTGAAATAAAAAGTGGAAATATATACACCTACACAGAATATATCTTTTTAAATTTTTATTTTTAGTGGATACCCATATTTGAGTAGACGCTCTGTTTATTTATTGAACAATATACAGGGTGAACCAAAAGTAGGTAGACAGTAGGTTGAGATGCATTTCAAGAAATGAATACACAAAGATTCTTGTGCAAAAATGTTTCGAAGCGTGGAAAGTAGAATTCAAAGCTGTGTACATTGTGATGGCCAACAGTTTCAAGCACCTGTCGTGATAACATTTTCGGTGTTTTTGTATTGTATTATTGTATACCCTAAAATTTAATTGTATATGCAATAATCGTTTATCATTATTTAATTGTGTTAGTATGTAATTTCAAAAATTATATGTATTTATTTATTTTCGTCTACCGGCCTGAATATTAGTGAAATCTTATTTAAGAAAAATATGTGAAGCATAATTCGAGCCTGCGTCCCTCTTGGCAGGAGGAACCGTCGTAGATCCGACGTACTTTAGACCATCTCGGTTCTCCTGTCAACAGTGACGCAGGTTCGAATCCATCCGGAGAGCGCATATTTTTTCTCTAATAAGATATAATAAGCAAGACTTGTGTCTTACTAACGTGAAATGATGTTTTCTAAACGGGATGTTATGGTAAACATGACAGAAAGATGACGTCAGCAGTGTTAATGGCGGCATCAGTCTGTCCAAAACTTTAGATCAATTCGTAGGATCTATTCCCCACTCATTAATCAATGGAGACGGTGCCTGGTCCCCGGGGATTCCAACTCTATTGCAGCACCTTCTTCATTGTACTAAAAGAACGAAGTTCGGTGAAATATCGACGCCAGGGTGACAGTGGTTGCGAAAGCCAAGAAGTTTTCCGACTGACCGCTGTTACCCCCACCTTGTGTTGTGTGGAGGGAGATGTATATTTCTTTCTAATCATTTCACTCCAAGCAAGGACGCTAAAACGCCAAGGGTTACTTGAGAGTGAATAAGAACAAGAGTACTTTAATCTGGAGAATAAAAAAAAAACAGATTTAAGGAGGACGGAAAATAGTGACAGATGTTACATTTAAATTTTTGAAGATTTTAGAAATAAAAACTATGGGAGATACTTCCACAGCCGAGAAGTGTGAGAAAGAAAACTGTTAGTATAAAGCTTACTGTTACATCTACCTATTTCAACAGTAAAAAGATGAGACCTAATTGCCAATCTAGCAGTCCGCTTAAATTCATGCGTATCAAGAAGTCGAGATCATTAGAACAATTGACATGAAAATAGTTATGGAAAGATGCAATTTATATATGCAACTCACAGATGCATCGACGTGTGTGTGTGTGTGTGTGTGTGTGTGTGTGTATATATATATATATATATATATATATATATATATATATATATATACTCAGAGTGACAGGCTGTTTCATGCTAGATGCAATCTGCGGCCTGACGATTGCGTCTAGCATGAAACAGCCTGTCGCCTCTGAGTGTTGACTTGAATGTTCATTATATATATATATATATATATATATATATATATATATATATATATATATATGTGTGCTCTGTAAATTTACATTGAGCACTCTTTTGTAAAAATAAAAATATCTATAAGAACACCGGATTATATAGCTTACTAATCTTTCTTTATATATATATATATATATATATATATATATATATATATATATATATTTATGAATGAAAATGACAATAGAAAACTGGTAATTGCTGACGCGTTTCGTCCAATGTGGACTTTTTCAAAGCAAAATACGAACACAATTACTAGTTTTCCTGGCCTGGTCATTTTTTTTATTCATAAATATTGTCCTCTACTGGTTAAATCAAATTTTTCATATATATATATATAGATATATATATATATATATATATATATATATATATATATATATATATATATATATATATATATATTTGCTGTATTTAGATTTCTCAATGTGCGGATAAATGAACAAAGGAAAGTCATGTCACGATTGTGAGGAACCAACTGAAGTCGAGATGCCAGGTCAGGACCGATAACATTACAGATTCTTCTTTGGATTTTGTCAAGAATCTCGAGAGATATTGCAGAAGCACCAGACCAGATGTGCCAGAAATATTCAATGCACGAACGAACGGTAGATTTATGAATGTGCAGAATGGATCCTGACGGGAAAATTTGTATTACAAAGCGTAATTACAGAACTAAACAATATTTTTTTTTCAAAGATTGCTTTGTGAGTAAATTTATCACTAGACTCTGCACTTAGAATGATTTATTTTAAAAGCTACACTTCAGACGTTTTATATTTCGCAACAAAAGATTGATTATTTTAATTTAGAGCAATTCATCCCGGGGGAGGAAAAACAAAACAGACAAATGCCGAATAAATTATTTTCACTTGCGGGATAGACATGAAAAGAACAACGAGAAAAGTTGTGATGCCGATGTTGTCGGGTGTTATTTCTGATAACACTCACTCAACTTTCCGTCGTTGCCAAACATGATGTGAACGTGTTAGGCTAAAGGCTACGAAAAGCGAGCAATAGGCAGCGACTGTTTTTCCTGACTATCTCTGTTAAACGTACACGACATTTCAAAATTATGAGTCAACCCAAGGTAATTTTTTTTAAATTGGCTCCAAAAGTAGTTGTTTTGTATTCTAAATATGAGAAAAGTATTATACATGTTTAAAAAAAAGTAATTTTTTTTATTAGGAATTTTATTATGACAAAAAGAAAAAAAAGCACTTTATCAAATTTTGCTCTCGTCAAAATATCCTCCTTTATTGCAGCACATGTTTTTTTTGTTTGTTTGTTTTTTTTTTGTTTTTGCATTCGTTGCAAAAGTTTGTCAATGTATAAGTTTAATAATTGATTTAATTCTTTTTTCAATGATTCTGTTTTGTAACCGAGGGAAGGTTACTGAATAGCATGGAAGGTTGGTAATGAACGATATTACTTAGGGCACGAACAACACTTATAAGATTTGCCAGCGGCGCGTAGAAGTAGTCAACTGCAGACCAACATACAGTATTCACTACTGTATTTTGGGGGAATGGAGACACCATTATCGTCCGTAGGTATGTTGCAACACTGTAAGATCGCTTTTTCTCTTTTTTTTTCTTTTATCACTCTTCTGTCAAGTTCATCCCATGCTATTTTGGGAGGGTGTTTCAAACTGTTGAACTGTAGTGTACATAGTAACGAATTTATCAGTGAAGAAA